TCTTACAACTGCACGTGGCTATAATTTCCTGAAATACAAAGTAAACGAAAGAGAAGAAGGAAGGAACTGAGGGAGAGGAGCTGGGGGAGAGACAGCACGCTCTCGCATACTTGCCTTAGCACAGGCCCTGCTGTGTGTCTGCCACGCCTAGCAAAGGACATAACAAGGCCTATTTCTTTCTCCGTATTTTCACCACCTGCATCCACAGAAGTGATAAAAGAATAAGAAAAAGAACTATCGGCATACCCTAAGACAATCCTTATCAGACATCTGATATTCTAGGCAAACACTGGCATACCGATAAATTCAAAATTTTTATAATGTTTCCAAAGTAAAATCAGGTTTGTAGAAATATAACATGCCCTAATTTGGTTTTGCTGCAACTTCAGTGAATAAAAATGTCTGTATTTCTACTTACTTATGATCAAATTTAATTTTTCTTCCCCAAAGTAGCAGCTTGCTTGCTACTCTAGATAACAAAAGAGATCTCTCTTCAACTCCCACACTCCCAAATTTATTTGGATATTACACTATTCCCAGCAATAATCATCATTCAGAGCTAACGTGAGCACAGACAAGTCCTGCTCCCCACACCAAGCAAATGTGACGTCCCCCAGTCAAGAGGGAAAACACGTCATTAAGAAATGAACTTTTGAAAAAAAGCATTTTTCCAGCAACCATGACTGTTAAATCCAAACAGGAAGTCACCTTGTCACTACATTTCTAAATTTTGTGTTTTATTAAATAAAAAAAATACATAAAAAGTGATGCTTCATTCAATGCCTGGCATATCTCAAACATTGTGTTAAGTGTTCTGCCAACATTATCTCACAAGTCTTTGCAGCGGGCAGGCTTAGCTTAGCTCCACTTTACAGATGAAAAAACTGAGGCTAAGAACGTACGAGTAATTAGCTCAAGGGTCCCATAACTAATAAGAGGCCAGACTTAAACATGTCTGTAGTGAAAAATACCCCACCCCATCCATGTGAGAGCTCTACTGGGAAGAGGCCAGAGTGAAGAGCACACTTGGGTTCACTGTCTCCAATCAACTTAGTAACAAAGCTCAAGGGTAGAAAGAGAACCTTACCCTCCAAGCTGCTCCCCCATCATCCATATAGGTTGTCTATTGCTGTCGTAACAAATGACCTCAACCTTAGCAGCTTAAAACCACACAAATTCATTATTTCGCGGTTCTACAGGTCAATGCCGGTGGTTCAGGGCGTCAGCTGGCCTGACTCTTATCAGGAGGCTCTGGGATTAATCTACTTTCAAGCTCTTAGGGTGTTGACAGAATCTAGTTCTTTGTGATTGAAGGACTGAGGTTTCCTTGCTGGTTGTCAGCTGGGGGCCGCCCTTCTGTGGGCTCTCTCTGGTCCTCGAAAGTGAGCCGCTACATCTCAGAACCAGCAACTGTGCATTGAATCCTTCCCAGGCTTGGAATCTCTCTTCTGACTCCCCCTTTCAGGATCAAAGTTCCCTGGGATCCCGGACAATCTCCCCATCTCAAGATTCATAACCGTAATCACATCGCAAAGTCCCTTTGCCATGTATCATGTCATATTCCCAGGGCCTGAGGATTAGGGCGTGGACATCTTTGGGGATTATTATTCTGCCTTCCACACCATCACTGAGATGTGAGCACACCGTCTTCATGTGTGACTCCGGGACATGCTGCATTGTTTCACCTAATCTTAGGAACAGGATCCACAGGAACATAATTTTATTGATGCTGGGACATAATGCTCTGAGTAGCTGGAGGGGTCGGGGCAGAGTGATGGGAAAGATCATCTGGCCGTTGTGACAGCTAAGTCAGGGTTTATGCCTGTGTTAATACGCCAGGTCCTAAACGCGACGCACCAAACTCAAGGGGAGACGGAGGGGACCGGCTGGTAAATTCACAGGCAGCCCTCCCCTATGGAATGAGTCACAGGGAACCAGCATTTCCTGCCTTTGCAGAGGGAGCCACAGATCAGCTGTTTATTCCTTTCCCATTTTACAAAATAAATAAATAACCAAAGTGTCTCATTTATAAACAATGCTTCTAACAGTTTCCAAGTTCTTGCAAACAATGAGCTCGTGATTCATTCATGGGCCAAGTGGCCAAAGTGGAAGCACGGCCCACCCACAGACCCACCAGAGCCCCTAGAGGGAAACACAGCCCTGTTGTTAGGCTCCCAAAAATAATGCTGAGGTTAGTAAGGGGGATCTCCAGTAATTTTCCCTTAGGCGGAAAAAATTATCTAATGGGAATTATCTACTGGGAATAAATCGCTACCTCCCAGCACCCATATCCTTCCCCAATCAGCTCCCCTCTTGAGAACTACTAAAATCCTCCCTGTGCAAACTCCCAGCCGACTAGAGAGGCTAGGATGACCCTGATTCGCTCAGCCTCAGCTCCCCTCTGCCCCACTTGGGAAGGTCCAGCCTCTCCGCCCTCCCGACGGGGCCCTCGTTGTTTAGAGTGTGCCATCTTGTCACTTCCACCCAGCTCAGCTGTCTAGGTAGAGTAGAGCAAGCCCCACTCCCTCCTCTAGCTGACTGTCACTTGCATCCTTCCCAGAATTTCCTAGCAAGGCCATCCCATACACTCTTCTTCTCTGAAAACTTTCCAACACAAAGTATTCTCTTTTTTGCATGCAATTAAAAAAATTTTTTTTAAACCCAACATGTTTTCTTAAAACCAAAGTATCAGCAAGAGGTATGATGTTAGAAGCTACTGTTGTGAGTGCTGGTGAAGCTTCTGGAAGGCATGTGACTTAATGGGGACGGGCATAGCCACGCTCTGACCCACAGCTTCCACCCCAGTGAGGAGACCCCGCTCGCCCCACCTGTGACATTCCCTTTGGTCTTCTCCAGATGGTCATCCCACACTACAGCGTCCTCACTGACACCATCCAGGTCACCCTGGCAGCAGATGAAGGGTATCGAGGTCTCTTTCAAACGTGGTGTCCCAAGGAGAAGCCCCCTCATCAGCTGGCAAGCACAGGACATGGTGGCAGCTGAACTGCCAGCAGCCACGCTTCCAACCCAGGATGTAGCACTCACTGGTGGAGCGAGCACGGGCCAGCAATGTACCTTCCCCTTGCTCTTAAAACAGGAGTGACGACAGTCCCCACTGCACAGGACCAAGCTGAGCGAGCCCTCAGCTGGCGCCAGAGTCGCTCACTGCCTCCTCGACAGGCAGTAGGATGCCTGCTCCCCCGCCTGCCTTCACCTCTGCCTGCCTGCTCCAGCTCCTCCACCTCTCCGTGTGAGTCAGTCCTCAGGTCTCTCCACAGCAGGGACCCCCACTGTCACCACACCCTGAAGCCCTCTTAGTTGGAATCTCCACTCCAAACCTCCCTCCCCAGATGCAGACTGACGGGGCCACTTCTATCAGCATGTGCCCCACACAGAATCCATTAGGAGGCGCACAGGGTGCTGGTCACACAGTCTGCAGAGTCAGAAAGCAGAGCTCAGCCATGGACCTTCATGAACCTGTGTGAGCCTCAGTTTCCTCCTCTGCAAAACGAGGGGACGCTCGGCCATGTGATCCTGAATCAAGGAGACCCTGCAGCCCTGCATATGGAACAAGCCCAGTGTGGGCCCACGGCACCGGGGACCCAGGGCTGTCCTGGGACTGTTCCCATGGCAACTGTCCAGCCAGCTCCATGGTCAGGGCCCGCTGTATGTCACTGACACTTAACAGAGATAAGTAACCAGTTCACAGAAAGAAGAGAGCCCTTGAGGACAAGAGCTGCCAGGAAGCCTCCCAAAACTCAAACTCAGAGGGCCAGTTTTTGAACCAGGTGAGCAGAGGGGGTGGGCAAGTCACTTCTGGCGCAAGCACAGCACCTGCCAGGCACAGACCAGGCCGGACAGGCTGCTAGGTGAAGCAGAGCTGCTGATGAGAAGATGTCCCAGGAAGGAGAAACCTGGGGCCCAGGGGAGTGAGATCACAAAAGGCCTTCTGAGCCAGCAGTTCGGCCCGGATAAGGAAGGGGGCCAAGGTCTCCTCCGCATTGTGGGGCAGGAGGAAACTGAGAATGAAACGAACTGGGAAGACGGGGGACCCGGGAGAGCAGCCACAGCCGAGACCTGAGAGGAGGGGGCACGTTAACGGAAGGCAGCAACCTACAGTCCTCAGCAGGCCAGGCTGCAGACCCCGGTGTGCAGCAAGGCTGAGGGGTCTGTTTGTTTTGCCATTAAGGGAAGCCTCCCTCTCTGGAATGTGTACTCGGGTCGAAAAGTAAACTTGCAACCTGACTCCCTCCACCACTCACCCTCAGGAAACGACGAAGAGCAGCCGAGCAAAAACAGGCCCCGCCCTCCCGAACCGGTCGCAGGGCCTTGGGGACACCGGAGCGCGCGCGCCCGCTCCGCTCCTCTGGAGGGTCCCACACGGTGCACCGCAGGACCGCCAGGGTCGCGCACGCCTCTCCCCACTGGGGAAAAGCGGAATTCTCAGTTTTGACCATTGCATCATGAAACTGTCCATCCGGAGCTCCAGACGCCAACATAAGTTCATCCAAGAAGCAAAAACGCTCGGCAGAACAATGCCCCCCGGGCTTCCCTGCCCAGGCCCTGCAAAACTGATGGCTGCGCTGTGGGCAGAGCTGGGGCACCCAGGAGGCGGAGGTGCCGGAGAACTGTATGTCGAAGGGGACGCCCTTGGGAGTGACACGCCCGCCCCCACCCCCGCGTATCCCCAGCCCGGCGCCACCGGGCTCGAGCGGGGCACTACCCGCCGGGAGCGCGGGGCCCGCGGGCGGCCGGCCCCGGGGTGCGCTCGGCTCTGCCCGCGGGGCGGCGGCGCGGGCTCGGGGCGGAACCGCCTCTCCCCGGCCGGGGCCACCGCTCCGCGTCCCGCCCGCGCCGCCCGGGGTCGGCGGCAACAGGCGCCCGGGCACCCCCGCCCCGCCCGGCCGCCCGCGCGCCCAGCCCGCCCGGGAAGTTCGGCAAGTGGCGGGCGCGGGCGGCCGGGCGGGGGGTCCCGCGCGAAGCCGGGCTGCGCTGCTCACCCACGCCGTATTTCTCCTCCCTCTTGGTGGGCACCCAGCGCGTCATGGTGCCGCGCGGGCCCGGGCGCCGCCGCCAGAGCCGCCGCCGGTCGGGCAGGAAAGTCCGCGCCTAGGCCGCCATTTTCCATTCCTCGCGAGCCGCGGCAGGATGGGGAGGAAAAAGTTTGCGGCGGAGGCGGTGTCATGTGGGACGGGGCGGGCGGAGCGTCGCGGGCCGGATGGGAAAGGCCGGGAGCGCCGGCGAGAGGCGGGACGGCCGGGACTGAGCCGCGCGCCGCCCTCGCGCGCCCCGGCCGGACCCCCCGGGCGCCCCGGGACCCGCTCGAGCCCAGCGCGCCCCGCCGGGCCCCGACCTCGCGCACCCGCGGGCCGTCGTCTGCTCACTTTCCGCGGGCTTTCCTGCAGTCGGGAGCCCTCGGGGACTGGGTCTCGCACGGTGAGAGGGGCGCGCCCTGGAGCACTGGGGCCGGGAACGGCGACGCCGGGGTCCTAGGCCAGGTGAAAGCAGCAGCCGGCTCAGCGCGGGGTTCGACGGCGCCTGCGGGTGTAATGTCCCCAGTTCAGGTTCCTCCTTGGTGGACAGCCCCTGGGAGGGGCCTTCCGGAGCGCGCGGTTCATTCTCTCGCTCGGTTTAAGTGAGCACCTGCCTACCCCGACCTGAGTGTGCCATGAGCGCCCAGCCTGCCCAGGCTGTAGGGTGCCAGGTGGTAGGTAAAGCAGCAGCGCACAGGTGAGTCAAGGCGTCCTACGCTGCGCATCCATGTAGGCTGGCCCTTAGTGCTTGGGCCGGGACACCCAAGTCGGGTGGAAAGAGATGGCCTGCCGCTGAGGGCCTGCCTGCCAGACGAGGCGGCCTCTGGCTTGAGTGTTGAGACAGTGCAGTTATCCCGAGGCCCGGAGGAAGAAGCAGGCAGAGCGCTGCTAAGGCCCTGCAACCTCCGCCCTCCTGGGCTTGCGCGCACTTCTGCTAGTTCAGTAGAACTCAAGGGAGAGCGAGGGATCCGGCAAAGGAAACCCCAGGCCAGGCCTGGAGCAGAGACTGAGCTCGCAGGAACGTGGTCTTCACTCTGTGTGGGAGTCGTTCTCAGACTGGTCCCCCACACCATTAAAAGTTGGGGGCTTCACATTGCTCCAAGGAAAAATAACACACATGTCTATGTATTTTCACTATAATTTCAGCAAAGAATAGACAGTAAAAAACAAGAAAAAGAGAAGGGACGTAGCCCCAAGGGTTGAAGGCAGCCTTTTAAATGGAGTAAATTTGGTTTCATGACATATTAACTGGGTGTCCTGCTCTCTTTCAAGCCCCCAAGGATCCCAGACAACTGCAGTAGGCCTGGGACTGTCAAGGATGGGAGGGGGGAAGGTGCAAAGGAGTAGCCACAGGGCCTGGGAAAGGCCAGGTAGGCCACCGTCCTGCTGGAGAATGGGCATTACCTGTCCTCAGGAAACAACAGGAAAGTAACACAAAATGAGGCTGCAGAGGTAGTAGGGCCTTATTGGTCTTGCTAGGAATTTGGAATTCTGCAAAGAAAACCTGGAAAACAGATTTTGGTGACAATTGCCTTCTCTTTAATGCCCAGTTTCGATTCTGCTTGTCTGGTTCCGTGTTGGTGGAGATGGCATGTTGCAGTGAACGACCGGGGCCTTGAGGGTCCCACAGACCTGAGAGGCCTGGCCTTGGCCAGCGTCATGACGTTCTTCTTGTGTTTCTAAACCTTTGGGTTCTGATATTCCTACATATAAATTAGGGGTAATAATGCCAACCTCGGGGTTACTCTGAGGATCATAGGAGGAGCTATGGTTGCACATGGAAGGCATTGTGACTGCCCTGCCTCCAGGTTCTTTGTTCGATTACCTTATGGTTCATATTTTCTGGAACAGTTGCCAGTTCCACTCTGATAAGGGTGACCTACTGCATGCATAAGTGTGGCGCAGGATTTGTATACTTTTGTAAGACTGTCACGTAAATTTTTATAAATCAGAATTTTAAAACTCCAGGTATAGCCAGGCATAGTGGCTCATGCCTATAAATCTTTGGGAGGCCAAGGCAGGAGGATCACTTGAGGCCAGGAGTTCAAGACCAGCCTGGGCAACATAGCAAGACCCTGTCTCTACAAAAAAAAAAATTATGGTGGCATGTACCTATAGTCTCAGCTACCCAGGAGGTTGAAGTGAAAGAATCACTTAAGCCTAGGAGTTTGAGGCTACAGTGAGCTATGATGACACCACTACACTCCAGCCTGGGCAGCAGAGCAAGACCCTATCTCTAAAAAAAATAAATAAAAACTCCAGATAGACAATGGACCACGTGTTGAGACAATGTGGTTTTGGTCGTGTTATTGTGATATATGCCCAAGCTTGGCAGAGAATTTGTACATGTGACTACAGTCCTTGGAGCTCTGAGAAGGTTCTTCAGTGTCCCCGGCTGGCTCGGGCACTGGTCTCATCTTGTGGCTCTAAATTGAGTTCGTGGCCCTGGCTTACTGCCCCATGGTTGCATGAGCTCAGGACTGGCTCCGTCTCCAACTCCAGGAGCCCTGTGGGTTGTGGTCAGTCGGCGTTTCTAACTTCTGAGTGGACACGGCTGGGCCGCAGGTGTCGGCTCCCCTCCCAGGCATCTTGCAGCACTTCGGTCTGTCCCATGCTTGAGGGTGTGACCAACCCGAGAATGCTGGGCTTCCAGTGGCCCCGTCCTAGACACCAGTGGGAGATCAGGCTAGTGACCCCCTCCCAAGATATGGCAGAATCTTGGGATAGTGTCATGAAAAGCATAATCAATATTATAATATTACAGTTTTAATTTTGAAAATTAAATTTTTAATTTTTTTTTTAGTTCAAAAAAACTTTCCACATTTGCAGAGCAAATTCAAGAGGTAAATTCAGCAAAATCTTTCCTGGTGGAGATACCAGAAGGCATAGTGAGTCAGTGGGGGCATGTTTCCTGGGAGAGGGGGAAGAGATTGGGGTAAGGATGTAGGGATTGTATGCAGGGAAAGGGGCTTGGTCACAGATTGGTCGCCCATTGAAAGGGGAGGGACACGGCCTGCAGGGAGGCAGCCACCTGCTGCCCCTTGGATCCAGTGGCAGATCTGGGCATCGAATTAGGGGCCCAGGTCACAGTGCACAATGTCACACTGCACAAAAATGTATAATCAAGACTTTAGACCTAACCTCCAGTTTACAGGACATACGTTGAGGATCAAGTTAAAAGACACGACAAGAAATACAGTCAGACAAAGCTAGAAGGTGGAACATTCTACTGGATACTGGTCTGGCCTCTTCAAAAGCTAATATTATTGAACAAGAAGGGGTCAGTGGAGAAGAAGTGCCCTAAATTTTAAAAGATGTAGGAAATATAACATTGAAACGTACTGCGTGGTCCTTGGCTGGAAACTGCTTTTAGTGATCCAACCCTAAAAAAATGTTAAGAACAAGAGGGGATTTGAAATATAGACCAGTATTAGATGATATTAAAAAATTATTATTCATTTTGTTAAGTATAATAATAGCATTATTGTGGTTAGATAGAAAAATGTCCTTAAATTTTAGAGATGTATGCCAGAGTATTTAGAAGTAAACCATCATTGTGTTTGTCATTTACTTTAAAAAGCTACGGGAAAAAACAAACAAAAAAGATGAAGCAAAATTGTTCAGTCTAGGTACGAGTCTATGAGTGTTTGTCTTTACTTTTTCTACATGTTTGAAATTTTTTATATAATAAAGTCAAAGTGGGGTTAGGAAGGGCTCGAGATTGAAAAACCAATCAGAGAACCCTCCTGGACTGGCCTCACACTAATAGCCTGGTCTCTGCCTCCACACTCCCCGGTGCTCTGCTCAGCATTCTCCATGGAGATTATTAAGGCAGACCCAAGCTGTTAAACTTCAGCCAGCTTCGTGGAGCAAATATGCTATTAAGCAGAGGATGCTCCGCGCTGCGCCAATGTGCCTTATGGGCAAATGTGAGGGTGAATGTAAATGCAGACCAAGCAGTCCTTCCCACAGTGTTCACAAGGAAATGAGCTCTGGAGCTGGGGGCCAGGACATCGGCAGGCAGAGCACCCTGGAGTGGACGGAGCTCCGGATCCAGGTTGCACGGCCTTGCCCCTGGAGGCCGGATGCTCGGACCCCCCCACCTCTGGGCCTCAGGGGTCTTGACAGTGCCATGTAGCGTTCATGGAATGAGGCAGACACGTGTCCAGGACCTTGGCAGCTGTCAGACTCTGGCACAGTTACCTGGCCACTCCAAGTTTCCTCATGTTTAATGTAGTCTGACTTCTAGAATGTTGCAAAGATGTAACAAAATAACAGTAGCAGAGCTTAACACAGGTAAGGGCTCCAGATGAAACAGTGGTTTTCTGATATTGGACATCAGGTGGTGCAGCACCGTGATCCCTGAAAGGAGAGAAACATGAGCTGCACCCTACAGTTGCCCGACTCGCTTCCTAGAAGCAGTTTCTGAATTGCAGCACAGGAAAGGAAAACAACAGCCTGGAGTCTGGCTGAGTGAAGGCGGGTGCTGGAGTTCAGAGACGCCAAGGCGCCAGGATTTGCCGGTCGGAGTGCCCAGGAGGAGGGAGCTGCCACCCAGAGTAAGCCAGAGCTCTGCAGGAGGGCCACCCTGAGTCTCTGGCTGAGGACTGGTCTCTGCATGTGTGGGGTGCAGCTCCTTGAGGCTGGCAGCAGAAAGAACTCCAGAGAGTAACCGACTCAGAATGATCCGCAAGCTCACACAGTGGTTAATGTTCCCTCCAGCCGGTGTGGAAAGGTCTCACAATACACAAGGTGTCAGGCAAAGTCCTCCAAAGAATCACATCATGGCAGGGCTAAATTAGCCCTAAACCAAAGTCCGCTCTGGTAAGTAAGAAAACTGACAAGCAAGCTCAAGCGAATGAAACGGACCCCAAGTAACTTAACTGCAGGCCGGAACAAAGCACAACAGTATTTAAAAGAATACAATGAAACCCAGCACCCAGCAATGTAAAATTCATGATGTCCAGCATCCAAACAAAAATGACCAGCCATGCAACTTGCAGGAAAATATCGC